GTGATATAAAAACACCCGCACCGGTTTCGACTTTGACACGTGCAGTGCTCATGTTTATTCAACGAAGTCAAAGCCTTTTGGAAAATCTATTTGTGGCGGTCAGTTTTGATATTTTGGCGGGCTGGCACAAATAAATCAATGTATGGGAAACGCTGCGAAGATCTAAATATTTAAAAATTAAAATGAAACTTGCCTGCTTGAACTCTTTCATTTGATCTGTGTGTCTGTCTTTAAAGTGTTTTGTTAGTTTGGTGTGTTTCCTCCTTTTGATGTCGCCATGTCTCAGTGCTTTTATGAAGAGAGTGCATCTGCGCACCTTTCGGATAGCGCATCAAGAACCAGGTTGACCGGGTACTCGGTACCACCAGTACTTAAAAAAACCTGATACCGTAACGTTTAAATTTTTTTAGTACCGACTTGGTACCGAAGTACCGGGTATTTTGACAACACTACATACAAGACACAAAAAGAGATATTTAGCAGTCCAAAGTGCCCCTTTTCACACCCATGTGATGCTGTCATGCTCCAAATATTACAAAAAAGTTCCATGGTCTAAAAAACTTGTGCATATTACACTACACTACATTACATTACATGTACAATTTTGAGGCGCGTTGTGCCATATTTGATGCTAGTGATATAAAACATTTCCTGTGTCTCTTCATTGACATCAAACCTCAAGTAATGCCTCTAAACTTTCAATGAGATTTGAGATGTTTTTTTCCCCATCTCACAATGCTTTGCAGTAACAGACTGTATTTTTTCTGCGTTTGCAGCAAGAGAAGAGAATCTTCACCAACTTCCACCGTCAGCTCTTCTGTTGGATTGACAGCTGGGTGGAGCTCACCATGGAGGACATCCGCCGGATGGAGCAGGAGACGCAGCGAGAGCTGGAGGAGGTGAGAATGACATTTGCACAGAATTATGGTCTGAAGCATGAATATTTTCCTCAATTTCATTTGTTCCCACCCATCCTTGGCAGACCTCCTTATTCCCAGCAGTCCAGATCATGAAACGCTGTTCTTTCCACTT